ATTTTTAACTGGTACAGGCTATAGAGAGCACATCACGCCAGTTTTGGCCTCCCTGCACTGGCTACCCATTCACCTTCGGATCCATTTCAAAATTCTCATGTATGTTTTTAAATCACTGAACAGTTCCGCCCCATCCTATCTCACTGATCTTCTGCAGCCATATGTCCCACCGCGCTCTCTGAGGTCAGCAGACCAGATGCTTCTCTCAGTCCCAGAAACCCGTCGTAAGCTCAGAGGTGACAGGGCTTTCTCTGTTGCAGGTCCACGACTGTGGAATGAGTTGCCACTGAGTGTCCGGCAGGCTCCCACACTCTCAGTCTTTAAGTCTCGCTTGAAGACCCACTTCTATTCGCTTGCCTTTAACACGGTGTGATTTGTTTTGGTCCGGTCTGTTCTCTACACTGTTGGCCATTTTAGTTAGCTTCTGCTGCTATTTGTATCTGTATTTCTATTTTATGTTTTCCTGTCTGCTGTGCATGTTTGGTTCTTTTGTACAGCACTTTGGTTGGCCTTGTTGCTGTTTTAAGTGCTCTATAAATAAATTGGTATGGTATGGTAAGATATAAGAGTTTAAAGATGGAAATGAAGTTTAAATGGAGAGGAAAAGATGGATGAGGTAAATGTGTCGGTATCAGAACGGCACGCTCCGTTAAGATCCCAGCTTCCTCCTTGGTACACTTAGGTGGTATAAATCGACTCTTTACCTGTAGCAGGTGTCTCCACTGGTACGGAGTTCCATTTAACGCACCCTTTCAGCGTCTCCGTAGGAACAGCTGTGAATCGTCCGAAGTACTGACGGTACTTGTTCCACACAAGTTCACCTCTCGGTGGACTCACAAGAGGAGTAAGTCCATCAGAGGCTCCACTCAGATGTGGAAGATTTCATAATTCCCACAAGACTCGGAAGAACTCCGGATCATGTCTGGACCTCCTGAACTCTCCAGCACTTTTCTGTTCGGTTTGGCTCTCCGAACTGAACTGCTCTCCCACCGCACTCGACTCAACTCGGCTCCACTAGCTCTGGTTTGAACTAGGAAGTGCTGACATTTAAAGAGTTCTATTTCTGGTTCATTTGGGAAGTTCCTGATTGGTCGATCGACCAGACAGGGGTGTGTTTTAGTGATGTAAGAGGTTATTAAAAGTCAGAAAAACAGAAAGAATGTTTTGGAACAGCTTGAAAATGTTTTAGGGACAGACGAGAGAAATGTTTAGGCGAGTTGGGGGAAAACAGGTGCCAGCTTCTCTATTTGAGAGGATATAAAAACATGACAGTTCGTTCCAACAACTTGTCTTCTTGCCTCCAACCTTGGACCAACATCACAACTTGCTCATTTCAGACAGAAAATCAGAAAATGCATGAATTACTCCGTAACACATTCCAACTTGATTTCCACTTTGAATGAGGATTAAAAATCACTAATACTGTTTCACAGTTGATTTAAAATGAGTAGTTCACTTCAACATTTAAAAATGGTTTGAACTAAACACACTTTGATTATCAAGAAATTTGTAAAATAGTAATGATAATAAAAAAGAGGGTGTTCTTTCAATTGATCAGTGCAGGACACTTAGAAAGTCTCTGGATGAACTTAATCTTGTGTTTCTGGACTCAAATCAATGAAATACAGTTCTTGTCCCAGGAAGGCCTCAAGGCCAGATTTGACCTGAGGCTTAGTTCACTACATTCTCTCAGTTTAAACTTTTGATCTGTGATTTGTGTTCTATTCTGAATAAAATATTAGATGTTGGCACCTCCACATCATTGCATTCAGTTTTTATTCACAATTTGTTTAATGTCCCAACTTTTTTGGAATCCGGTTTGTAGTTTGACGACCACAACTTGTTCCTTGAAGGTTCCCATGAGACAATATTCAATGAAACAACACTTTCAGCCAGTGACCTGTGCACCAGTTAATTTGTTTGCCTCAAAGCTCCTCATCTTATACAAAAGGTGGAGACGCTGTGTGGCTTTTTTTAAAGACCGTCTGTTGGTTTCAAAGGTCAACTTGTTGTCAATTATTGTTCTGAGATATGTAAATTCTGTCACCTTCTCCACTTCCTGCTCTTTTATAACAGAAGGTATGAATACCCGTATCAACTGTAAAACAGGATTGTGTGCAGGTTAGAAAAACAATTAAATGCAAGGTGACTGCTGTGGAAGAGCTGGACCTGTTTCATGATTATTTAAAGGGTTGGAGGTTGCAGTTAAATGTGCAGGAACTTTCAGATAGAGGAGCACTGAAGAGATCCTGTTCAAGGTTGTGGTTAATGTTTAGCAACGTGGCGTGAGGCAAGAACAGATTGCAGTGACTTTTTATTTTTTAGAGAGTGGGAATCTTCTGTCCTTTGATGTGAAGCAGAGGGCCCGAGTCATTTAGCAGTCTGACTTCAGGAGGAGACAGCTATGTTGTCTGGTAGGAGTGGTGCTGATGCTTGTGAACGTTCTACCTGACAGCAGGGGGAGAAGGGTGCATGTGGTGAGGTATGAAATTATGCTGGTTCCATGGCAGATGAAACATTTCTTGTACAATTCCAAGTGGTGGGAGGAAAGCTTTAGTTATCTCAGCTGTTCTCACTAGCTTCTGAAGGAAGTTGTAGTCAGTGTTTTTGCCATTTCCAAATGCAGCTACAGAGGATGCATTCAATCGTCTCATGGGAGATGGTGGTGAGGATGGGAGCAGAAAGTCTGGCATTTTTTAGCCTGCACAGGAAGTCCAGGTGCTGCTAGGCTTCCTTGGTGATATTGGTGGTATTGAGTAGACCATGAACTCCTCTGTAGGCCTAAAGTTTCTAGAGACCAGTTTGAGGCCATCTGTCTGACAGCTGAAGCTTGGACCAAACTGGGTCATGATGCCACAGGGCAATGATCTCCAACACAGCAGCTAATCTCCAACAGAATTTGTCAAAATGATAAGAACCTAAGTGCTGCAATTCAAAGTCCAGGACCTCTGCAAACCTCAGTGAAGTGAAGCCACGTTGTAAAGAAGAGTGAGCCAGAAGTTTAACTCAACCACAAAAATAAAAACAAGAAAAAAGTTTCATCAACAAAGTCCTCACTTTCTGACTCGGACTGTTTTTCTCCTTCATGATCCTCTCTCATCTGTCTTCTGACTCGGTGGTTCCCTCCTCCTCCTCAAGTTCAAGAATCGTCTCGTTGTTTGGACTCAAACACACTAAAATTGAATAAAGGCTCCCGGGCAGACCTCAGTCCACAGAGGTCCGCGCGTACCGGATTAGACTCGAAACGGACGCCTGCAGGGCATGTCCGTGCAAAGATCAATTTTTACGACCGTGCACGCGTATTCGGTGTCGCACAATAAACTGCCCAGCGATGGACTGTTTTGTATGAAACACCAATGTATTAAATTCTCCTTCTTCATCCGTAGTCTGGTTTAATGGTCTTTTCCTTTGTTTTTTCCTAGAGACTGATCTCTTCCTCCTCGTCCGTTGACACTAGAGCTGGGCCGTATATCATCGTTCATGATAATACCAGTAAAAAAAGCTTGCCCGGGAAAATAAATTGTATCATGATATGCTAATGACGTAAGTACATCAGTGTTTCCCCTACCATTACAAGCGGGGAGCCTCGCCCCGTTAACAGAACTGAGCACGCTGAACTGCCCCCCCCCCCCCCCACACACACACACACACACCTGTTGGTACTGGTGTGACGCTAATTAGCTGCGCGCAATACTAGCTAGCTAAAAAGCTAAAAATAAACAACGCGCATCTCAGCTGTGTCTCTCCCACAGCTCTGGGCTGCTGGTGCAGGCGCGGCTGTCCCCCCCGCCCCGAAGGTAAACGCCCCTTGCCTGCAGAGCTGGGCAGCAACCAGTCAGGGTGGACGCTCGAGTATGAAGTCTCAACCGTCTGCGGACAGTGCGCACAGTTTTCGCGCGGACTGAGGACCACCTGAGTCTGTGGGAGTCTTAAACATACTGAGCTACACCCTAACTATAAAACCTAAACACGCGGGCGGCTGTGGCTGAGTGGTTAGAGCAGTCGTCCTCCAATGCAAGAGTTGGGGGTTCGAATCCACCAGCAGTCACATGTTGAAGTGTCCATGGGCAAAACACTGAACGCCTCATCGCCTCCAATGTGTGTCCCATCAGTGTATGAATGTGATAAAGCTCTGATTATTCTCATTAGAATGATTTGTTCAATTATCTTTGTAGAGATCTAGTATAGAGCTGTATGAATGGGTAAATGAGGCACAGATTGTTGTAAAGAGCTTTGAGTATATTGATAAGATAGAAAGGTGCTGTATAAGTACAGTCCATTTACCATTTAAATATCACTAATCTCTCAAACCTCATGACTCACTCCTGCTCGCTGTGATTTTATCGCGCTGAACTCCGTTCAACTTCTGCGTCTTTCTCTCCTTCCTGTAGTTATTTTGCGTTTGACAAATAACTTGGAGCCTCCGTCAGAAAGGAGCGGAGAGGTTGTTTATCTTTTTGGTGGGGGTGGGAGGTGAAAGTGGAGGGTGATGGGGGTGTTTTGTTCCTGAGACTTCACATCTTTGCTGCAGCCTCTCGCTCTTAACACACTTCAGATGTGACAATGATTTTCAGAAAAAGATGTGGCATGGATTATTGATCATAACTGTGGTTTTACTTGGCTCATCAACATGATTTAAAAACTCATGTGTTGTTTAAAGTCTACATTTTGGACATAAATTAAAATGGAGTCTCTGAGAGCTGTGTCTTTCCCACTAGAACGACCGAAATCGGTCATGTGACTATCAATTGACTCCAAAGGAAAAAAGAAAAGAATCGTCAGTCAGCGTAGGCAGCGCCAAACACTTGAGTAGGCAGCGAAATCACCGCCAGTTATTGAGAAGATGGCATGTTTCGTTTTGTTTATATCTACTGTTTAAAGCCTGTTTACTGCACAGGAGCATGATCAGATTGTTTTCTCACAGATACCTTTCTATTGCTGAGACCATGGAGGCCACTGACGTTCTCAACTCTGCATTGAACTATGGGATAGTGGTGGACTGTGGCAGCAGCGGTTCTAGGGTTTTTGTGTACTACTGGCCCCCCCATAATGGGAATCCTCACACCCTGCTGGACATCAGACAGATGAGAGATGGTGATCGTAAACCTGTCGTCAAAAAGATCAAACCTGGTAAGAACTCAATATTGCTCTTAGTAACACTGAAAATAAACTTAAATGCCAAAGGTTTTGGAGATTTTAGTTTTCACCTTTTGAATTTGATGTGAATCATTGGCAGGAAAATAAATGTAAAAAGCAAAGCTTGGCTCTTAATTTTCAGTTTATTCTTTTAGCTCATTCTTTTTCATGGAAAGCTGTTGTATAAACTGTATGTAAAACTGGACTCAATTTTACAGTGTTACAATTTTACACAGTTTAGGGGAAATATTGTCTTCTGTTACCTTCTAAATCAGTGGGTCCCATCCACTGGGCCGGGGACCAGTACAGGGCCTTGGATCATTTGGTACCAGGCCCAGTGTTTGCCCTACCACATACAAGGAGGCGTCCCGCCCTGTCACCAGAACTGCTTACCGAACTGTCCGCCATCCCTGTCAACAACTGCCGGCACTGACGTTTCGCTAAGCTAGCAGAGCGCAATACAGATGCGCTAGCTAAAAAGCTGTTTCCTTCATCCCCTGCCCCCCAGTTGACAACTGTCAGCACAAACGAAACACAACAGACGCGTCTCCCGTCTACTCTGTCTGTTACTCCATGAGTAAACACTGACGTAGCTGGAGAGCTTCTTTGAATAATGGAAAAGGCGACCAGCTGTCCAATGAAGCCCTGAAACTTTCAAAACTGTTTGACCACATGGACACTAAGCACCACAGGAATGTGGATATTGTCGTGGCTGGTACCACGTCGTGTTCAAGACAGCTGAGACATAGCCCTCAGTATAAAAGATTTATTTGACAAACAGGGGTTACAGATATTCAGAGACAAACAATTACATTATTAAAATATATGCATATATTTGGAGCATTAAAGAACGAACCGTCTCGGTCTGGTCTTCCCCGGAAATGCCCGATGAGCGTGTGTCATTTCCGGCTTTTATAAAAGCTTGGAAAAGCTAGCTCCTCTGATTGGTTTAGCCCTTCAGTTCCCATGGTTACTGGTGTAGCCCGCCCCCTGAAGGACGTTAGTTGAAAGTTTATGGCACACTGAAATCGTTCGTTTTAGCTGTTTGTTTAACGTGATTATACCCTAGTGATACCCAATGATTTGAGTTAAAGTTGTTTATTTCTAGGAATAATTAATAACTATTAATTATTATCTAACTCATGTTTGCGTGTTCTTACTTGATCCCTTTTTATACTTTTTAGTTTAGTTGCTGTGGTAGCTTACTGTGACAATTAACCCTGTGTCCTCCCAGCTAAACCGACCCTGTATTCAACAATGATTAAATGTTAATGGTTATTATTAAGAGAGAACCTTAGGGATTTTATTTAGTCAAACTATATTAAGTCTAAATTAAAGAAATGTGTTCTAGCTTTATTTATGTTAATCAGTCTGCTATCTGGCATGATTTGATTGCTTGTAATATATCAAATGTGAACTTGTAAAATATCATTAGCTAATATAAGATTATATGTAAAGGTAAACTAGTTAGAATTAGTAAACATTTTCTATAAATATAGTGCAACCCTGGAAGAAAGACACACACACACTTTGTATAACATGACATTTGAATGCTTGATAGGAAATATAAAAAGGTATAAAAATATGAAATCCAACAATATCCTAACCGGGCCTTCCTGAAAGCAGAGAAGAAACCCAAACAGGACTCCAGTCAGCCATCTGGTGAAAAGGAGGAACCCAGACCCAGACCAGTGGTCATTCCGTATGTTGAGGGAGTATCAGAGAAACTGAGACGTTTATTTTCTAAACACAACGTCCCAGTGGCTTTTAAACCCCAAAATACATTAAAGACTGGTTCATCCCAAAGATCCAGTCCCCCGGCACAAACAGAGTAATGTTGTGTATGCTGTTCAGTGTCAGGAGGGTGATCAGTCTTACATCGGGGAAACTAAACAGCCACTGGCCAAAAGGATGGGCCAGCACAGAAGATCAACATCATCAGGCCAGGACTCTGCGGTCTACACTCATCTCCAGGCCAGCGGTCACTCTTTCAGGGATGAAGATGT